AATAGGGCTAATCTCTACCGCACCATAAGGTCTCATCTTTTTAACCACAATGGGTCCAAACCATCTTAATTTAAACTTTCCCGGAAAGAGTCTCAAGCAGGAATTATTAACAATACTTGTTGTCCCACCTTGAAATCTCTAGCCAGGATTTTCTTGTCGTGCCACTTCTTGGTCTTCTCTTTATAGAGACTTGCATTTTCATACCCAGTTAGTCTGAACTCATCAAGCTCATCCAGTTGCAGGAGTCTCTTCTCTGTCGCAGACTTCGAATCGAAGTTAAGGTACTTGATAGCCCACAATGCTTTGTGCTCTAACTCAACCGACAAATACAAGCCTTGCCGAACAATAACTGGAAAGGGGATATGCCAATGGGCGTCTTGAATGCAATACGATATGCCCAAAGAGAATCATCAAGCTTCTTAGACCAGTCCTTCATGGAACTCCCAACAGTCTTCTCATAAACTAGTACAGAAATTTGAGTTCTTTTTCTTTTTATTCAGTTTATGTAAAATGTTATATACACAGACATAATTTTTTGTTTTCAGATCTCATAACTTTTGCTATTTTTTTTCTTCACTTTATCCCTACTTCTAATGGTTTACATGATTTTTTTGTGGTAGAGTCAACTCAACTCTGTCAATAGCATTTCAGCCGTTTAATCCATCACGCGTTTAATTTTTTATAATTCTAATGTATTGATCAATTAATGAAAAAAACTAAGCTCATCTCACTCTCATTTGTGTTTATATACTGTTGTTCACCTTTAAATATTTTTTGGCTAGTATGTACGTAGATCTAAATTTATCCTTGTATAGGTAGACCACAGTTTGTCCCTACAGCCTTTTCAATATAAGATTAATCTAGCTAAGCCTAAGGTTCCACAAAGCTTACAATGTTTTCTTTTCAGTATTTTTTTTTTTTAGGGGGAAAGTAAATCTGGAAGAGTGCAAGTCTTCGTATTTATTTATGATGACGGGAACAGTGTATCTGTGTGTGGAAAGACGTGAAACGATGGAGTATTGCAAAGTGTAGTTAGGACACTTGTATTTGAGCATGTGATGAAATGTAATCTGTTAGTGAATTAAAGCTGCATCTGCATGGTTTACCGAGTATACGACAATGTTGTTGGGGGAAATATTTATTATGTTTCAGGATCATCCAATAATTTAGTGTTTCTTTTCATAATAATAATTTTTTCTTTCTTTTTTTATCCTTATTATTTTTTTTCTTTTTTAATTTTACCTTCTCATTTACACTAAGGGACTACCTAAAAAATATTGGTCTCAATCCACCATAAATTCTCTCGTTGTTGGGACCTTTTGCACCAATGAAATAACAACGTTATGAATAATTCAAGGTAAACGATTAACGACCTTTGTGTTGATTTTGAAATTGCAGGTGCCGATGCGGAACTCCAATGCTTCGATAACACGTACAAATTGGCAGATGCGTAGATATCAAATGAGTTATATAAAACTGGCATGCCCAGTAACCTATGTGTGGACTTTTTAAATTGAAACTTGATTCCAACAATTAATTTTAAATAGGGAAAAGTTCACTGATACCCCTGTGGTTTGCTTCATAATCATTTATGCTCCTGTGATTTTTTTCTATCACATATGCCCCTGTGCTTTGTAAAAAATAAGAAACCACAGGGGTATATGTGATAAAAAACATACCCTTTTACAAACCACAGGGGCATATGTGATAAGAAAAAAACCACAGGGGCATAAATGATTCTGAAGTAAACCACAGAGACATTGGTGAACTTTTCCCTTTTAAATATAGAAGCCAAGATTTTAATGAGGCGAGTCAAACACATCTGAAAAGTTCCTACTTCATTCACCACCCCTACCCACAAGTGTTATGTCTTTTTGGTAAGTGCACCCGGAGGCATAAAGCCCACTAATCTCAATGATGGTGTCCCTGGAGCTGTCCCCAAGCCAGAGAAGCCAGGCGTTGAAACTTCCTTATGTGCTGTTTGATGTTGGACCTTTTGCATTTGAGCCCAAATGCCCTCGTTAAACAAATATGAATATAGATAATTCTGAGTTCGTTTATATTGACTTGTGTTATTTTTACCTTGCTGTTTCTACTTTCTTGTGTTTCCTGTTGTATTTCTGTGTTTGAATTATTATTATTATTATACAATAAAGAGTGACACTGTACGTGATAGATGGTTCTCGTAAGAATAATAATTAATTAAGTGTAATAAAATGTTGTTTATGGCTTTTGTTCAATTTGCTGCCGTGTCTAATTCTATTTGTTATTATTGTTTTCCGTCCTGAATTTTGGAAGTTTCTGAGTGAAATAGATGCTATATATTTTCTTCATGATCAAAACTAAATTTGAATTCTATTTTTAAAAAGTTTTTTTAATTTTTAGAATAAAAAAATCTATTTTATAATACCTTCTTTGTAGAAATAATTTTGAAAATTATACTGCTTTTTAATTTTAGATTCAAATTTAAAAAATATGTTCCAATAGTTTTTATTTTGTATATTGACTTTTAATTTTTAAAATAAAAAAAATTCATTTTGTTCATTATTCTATAAACAGTTAAAAAAAGGTAAGATCTGTCGTTACATCAAGGGGTGTTTGGTAAAGGAATTTTTTTGAGATTTTTCAAAAAGTTATAATGGTAATCTTATTTATTTACGTTTGGTATAAAGTTTTTGAAAATTTTCTGGAAAATCTGATTTTTTTGAAATTTTGTTTTAAGTATAATTTTTTTCTAAAATACCATCCAAGAATACTTGGAATTTCATGTATTGAAAAAAATTTACACTTTCTTTTTTTTTGGACAAAATCTAGATAATATTTTAACCTATGAAATAATTTTTGATAATATATTTGGAAAAATAATTTTCCCACTATATTCAAATTTCATGAAAAAAGACTTAAATACACTATTAAAAGTCTGGAAAAAATTCTGTTTTGTAGAGGAGATATTTTTTTTATTAGGTAGTGTTTGGTTCGAGAGAAATTTTTTTTTACTAGGGAAATGTAATTGATAGGGAAATGTAATTGATAGGAAAATGGAAGGAAAGTAAGTTTGGTAGGAAAGTTTAAAAAAAGTTGTTTGGTACCGCAAAATATTGATGGGAAAATTGAGTTAAAAATCCTTATGTATGTTTGGTTGAAAATAAAAGATAGATGGAAAAAAAATTGAAATTACGAAAGTAACCTTTTGATATTTGGGATGGAGCATCTTCTTTTGATATGGTTACAAATATGTGGGGATAATTTTATCACAGTAAAAAGGTGGTACTTGTTTTCAATATTACGGATCCACATTGTTATTGAGTATATTAACTTAATATTTTTTGTGATCTCAATTCTGATTTGGTTCGTTCATGTGTCTGTACTTAATAACGGAATATATTCAAATTAATATCACTAAATCGAATGGAAGTTGGTTTTTTCGTTGCGTTAAGATGAAGAACAAAGTAAATAGGGTAGGAGCTATGAAGGAATGATTAATTCTAACTTCAAAGACTGAGACAATACAAAAATTGAAATTTCATTTCATTTAATTTCATTAAAAAATGGCCATTATAAGAAACATTGAAGTCAAACAGGAATTGGCAACAGATCCAAAACAAATATGTTTCATAGATGTCCCAAAGCTTTTCCATGGAGCTTCCTCATGAACTCCAGTTTGTGATGGACCTGGGTTATGTTATCTGTGTATATGTCCCATGGCTTTCATCTTTCAACTTCAGTTTGCGGCTTACAAGATCTTTGATCAACATATCTGACATTGATTTGAACAGAAATTCTGTCCTGAAACAAATGAAAAGAGAAAGAATCAATACTCTCTTATATAGATAAATAAAATTAAGAAATGGGAAAATTTTCATGGCAGCAAAGTAACATCAAACAGATGATATCAGAGGCATTTCACGCCAAATTTTATCTTTCATGACTTATTTGATACTTGTGGGCAACACTATATCCCACAATTAAAATCGTCAAAGGGAAATACAAACGAGAAGATTCTCATAACAACAGATTCAAACCAAATACCAGAGTGGAGAGAAATGAAAGGCACATATGTAAAGCTAAGAACTCATCAATTTTGAAGGCTATTAAGTCATTGAGCAGTTTTGAAAAGGCAAATATGAAGTCATAGACAGTGTGTCATTCTCCAGCATCACATCAGAAATACTAGAAGCGAATTAACTTACTGAATGAGATGAACAGAAAGATAAACCGTGTATTGAGCAAGAAACCTTTGCATGAAACAAACCAAAAGTTGAAGCAGCAGCTGGGGGTAAATATGTCACATTTTTTATCCCCTTTTTCCGTTTAGCCGGTTTTCCCAACAATACCGCCAGAGAAGGCATCCTGAACAGTGAAATTGCTCCTTGTTTACACGCATATCTTCTTAGTTGGGGAACTCAATTGATGGATAAATTTCAACTTCTCTTCAACCAAACGTAGAGACCAGGGAATCCCACTTCCATTTCCCTGGGATAATGACTATTTCTCCCGAACCAAACACTGCCTTAGGAAAATGCAATTACCAGTAATATGGTAGGAAAGTGAGTTTGATAGGAAAGTTAAGTTGTTTGGTTGGTCAAAATTTTATCAGAAAAATTGAGTTAAATTTTGTGAGTCTTTGTTTGGTTGAAGGTGAAATAATAATGAGTAAATGTGTTCAAATACCAAAAATAACTCTTAATATTTTAGAAATGTAGACATGTGTACTTAGAAGAGGGTAATATGGTAACACTCTTCATTCACCTTTTTGTATTTTAACTAATTTTCTAGGAATACCACATCCTAAATGGTAAAGTTCTACCATGATTTACTTTTGATTTTGTACATACTTGTGAAAGATAGAGAAAAGAGAAGCATAGCTAAAAAATTTTAATCTTTATACCAAACAAAACAATCCTAAAATGCCACTTCAAGATAGACGAGGAACCAAATAAAAAATTTCAACCAAACACCCCCACATGCTTTTATACGGGATTTTGACAGAAATAGATTATCAAGGGATAGGAATAAATTTTCAACCATATCCTCATCCAAATTCACCCTAATCTTGAGGTGCATCTCCTTCCAAATTCTGCTACCGTGTTGTCTTGTAGAAACAAATCAAGCCACTTTTGGTTTGAAGGAGGAGGGGCTACGCCAAAGAAACCATACGAGTGCTTCATGTGGTAAGTCTAGAAGTCCTTCTCCTCTTTCCCTTGTCTTAAGGCCCGTTTGTATTGGCTTTTCATTGAAAACGTAATTTTTGTTTTTCTTCTAAACGAATACGATATTGAGATTTTTTACCGGAGCGCGATTGGTACAGCTATTTAGAATTTTAAAAAAATATTTGATTTTTGAAAAAAATATTTGACTTTTGACTTCTGTTTTTATTAAAAGCTAAAATTTTTAGCTTCCGAAAAAAAGTAAGTTTTTGACTTTTTTTTATGACTAACCAGACATCCAAACATATTTTTTTCGAGAAGTGCCTTTTTTTCTTAAAAAAAGCAGTTTTTGAAGAAAAAAAAAGCCTATCCAAACGAGCTCTTAGAGTTAGAACTGGTCTAACGTTGAAGGTGTTGATGATTTTTTCTTGCTGCATTCCTCAAATTATAACTAAATGGTTGCTGCGAAATGCTTTGTATGTGTTCGGCTTTATTTCTTGTTTGGATTAAAGGTTCACAATTATGTGCTGAATGGCTGTTGTAAGTTAGATTATGTGAAAAATGGATAAATCAATTTAGTTGACTATATGTGCAATTTTGACCATTGTAACCATCATGAAAGTCAATGCTTTTTTTCGTGTTTTTGAATAATTTGTAGAATAACAGTGCTATCTGTCTAGAAACTTTGGACAGCATGCAGCTGAATGGAGTAACAATGTCTTGCGTTTCTTTGTTAATGTTTTTAAATTGTACTCACATTTTGTTATTGATTGCGTTATCTGTCTATCCAGTAAAAGATAATGAAGATCTTGATGTGTCTTTTAAGTTTAATTTATCTAGCACGTATTCTCAATATTCATTTTCTCTTCCCCTAATTAGAACACACAAGAAATTATGGTAGTCCCTTAATCTCATTTCTTTTTGCTATTTTTAGAATGCTTAACTTGCGTTTGTATTAAATCAACAAGAGGTAAAAGGATCGAGCTTTTAACTCCCAGATGTTAAGGAAGAATTGATAAATACAATCTGCATGAGAATATAATTAATCTAATTTTTTTAGAAATGGTGCATGAATATCATTATAACATATTAAACATATTTGAAATAAATTATCCAAATCTTGCTTGCTTGCTAATAATATAGTTGGCGGATTTCGAGTCTTTTCATTTTACAACAAACTCGAACCATGGTCATATAGTGTTATAGATGTGTATGGAGCTGAAATTCAAGCTTCCTCTGCTGTTTCCAAAGCCAATAAGGGTCAGTTCATCTATTAGAAGTATGGAAAGGCAACTTATAAAAGTTTTAGATTTGATTTCTGTTATTCTTTATTGGTAGGGTAAGTGTCTAACTCTCGTTCAAACTTGTTACATACCTTGACATGTTAATTGAGCAATCTCTCTTTCACTTAATTATTTTAGTACATAGGAGTCGACGGCCTCATATTCCACCAAAAATATGGAAAACCTTTGAAACTCCATTTTCTAAACTTAATGAAGAGGTGAACCTTCTTTATTCTTTTTTTGGGGTAAACAATAAGGGTCATCAAGATTTAATAGTGTATCCCCTTACTCTTAAATGTTAGTTTCTGCATAAGAAGAAATAACTATAGTGTATGGTCTAGATAGAAACACAATGAAGATAGGCAAACAGCACTAAAAGACTACACATTAAACAAAAAAAAAAACAAAAAAAAGAATCAATCATGAAGTTAAAGATCTAAAACAATTTACCATATTCAAGGTCACAAGGATAATCTCTGAGTATATCTACCAATGTGCTTATGATTGGCTGCTACCGTTAGCTTGCTACTCTAATATATTAAAGCTCTCTTTATCATTGACAAGAGCATTTCTATTTGAACCTGTTGATAGAACCCTGCATGTTTCAGAAGCTTGTGTCGTAAGTTAGAGATAACATGTATAGCAGACACTACCTTTGAAAGGCAAGTTAATATATGGTGTAGTGAAATTTGGGAATTGATGTGTGGAACTTGGGATTGAGAACCAAGTCAACCTTTTTCTTAGTGTAGCTTGAGTAAATCTGAGTACGAAGAAGTAACTTTAATTAAATGATGATGGCCATGAGAAACTATAGGATCGATGTTAAACTCTTACAGCCTTTAAATAGGATTTGATAACCATCTTTTCTTTCTTTTTTACTTTATCTTCTTACAGCCTTTCAATTTATATAGGCCTAAGGCTGCTTCTGGTCACCAAGAGTATTTCTTTCCTTGGAAAAATAAAGTCAAGATCTAATTAGGCTTTACCCTTTTGGAACACATAGCTAGGTGTAGTAAGAAAGACATTTGCCTTCTTAACAGCCAAAATTTTTAATGATCCAAATCAAATTACCCTGCGTAATTGTTAGGCTGGTAATGCTTTTCTTGTCACTTGAAGCTTATTTGGTCCCACATAACTATTACATTGAATCATAAGAAAAATTAGTCATTAGCATTTATTAACCTCTAATCTTTATTATAGTCAGCATTAGCCTTGTAAATCTTAATACAAAAATGCATTTGTCTTTGCTAATAATGGTTCTGTGTGAGTTACAATTTATGAGATGGTATAGGGGCAAGAATTTACTAGATCATCCCATGGATTTCTTGGTTCCTCACATAGATTATTATGTTGATTTCATGGTGGAATTTCTATTTTAGGTGGTTGCTTTAAAATGGACAAAAAGGAGCTTAAAATTTTGTGATCTATTAGGTAGCAGCCGGATGTTAAGAGGATCGTTGCATAGGAAGGACGCACATCACAATTATGTTCCCCATATACAGGTAACATTTGGTAACTTTTGAAGCAATTAGTTGGACCACCATTGCTAAAATAATATTCAAGCTTTTGGTTCAGAAAGTCAATAAATTTCAAATAGCCTTGCACGTAGGCAGAGCCTGATGTTAGTGTTAATAGGAAATTAAGGGGAGCCTTGAATTGTCTTTGATTCTGTATTCAATATGCTGTGAGGCCAGCCTTCCTCAACGAAGCCAAATTACCATTTCCATTGTTGTGATTAAGTTGTCAAAATAGGTAAGAAGGGGTAGATCAATCCCATTAATTCACAATTATTTATCATTGCATTTACATAGAAGTCATATCCTCATGTAAGACTATACATGAACAAAGAAATAAGTATAATTCAATACATCATCATGTGATGGTTACATAATCATAAATTCGGAGATAAATACCAACGGTTTTCAGATTTTGAATTACCGTTTCATAATACAAAAATGTCATCCATTAATATTTCGTAACACTTTATGAAAACAAAATTGAAATTTTGTTTTTTATGAACCAAGTTGGGTCACCGATTGAACTGATTGGATCATCAATTTTCTTAAAAAAAACCGGTTGGGTTGCATTGGTTTTGTTACTTAGTCAATCCAACATGAAAATTGGACCAATCATATGACCGATTTACTGATTTTCGGATCGCCTTTTCAACATTGTTTGTAAGCCAATTGATTGAGTTCAAGTGCTTAAAGGAAATTTGTGTATCCTTAAAATCAAGAGCAAGAAATTTACGGGTAAAGAACTTATTTAGTTACTGGTATAAATTGAAGTTAGTAAACAAAAAAAGAAGAAGAAAATATCCTTTAATAAAATACCTTTGCAATGCTTTTATAAAGAAAAAGATAAATAAAAAAAAATTGGCTTTATTATTCTCATTTCACATAAAATGTTACTGAGAGAAAATGAATGGTACCCTCATTATAAGAAAAAGAAAAAAAATGTGGGGATACGAAAATCGTCGAAGTGAGAAAGCATGAAAGAAATAAATTATCTTACGTAAAAAAGAGAGTAATATTTCTCAAAAACTTTATTTAAAAGGGAAAATTACAAATAAGCGTTTTTTTTTTTTTTTCTTCTTATATCGAACAATAAAATTGCAAAAGATGGTAAATAAAAATGCTCACGGCAACTCGTTGATCAAGTAGTCTCATAAACATAAAACCTAGTCTAGGGCGTTAGGTTCGGGGAGTGAAACGATAACCTATAACGTGATCGGAGCAGCAACAAAGGTAAAAGCTTTCCCATGAGTCACTTGTCATTTTTCCTTATCCGTAGTTATATGTTTGTTTTTCTTGACATGCCCACTTCAATTCTTGTCACCAATTCGCTTCGCTCCTCAAATTTTGGTTCGTCTTTTCTGCCATTGAAATTTAAAATTTTGTTTTATCTTTGATACACCCAGTTCGATTTTATTTTATTTTTTATTCCTAATGCGTACTCGTCTTTAACTCGCTATCTAGGATTTTGGGTTATCTTCCGTTGAATTTGTCAACTTATTTTGAATGTGCAATCAGATTTTCACTTTGATTATATACAGTTCCATCATATCCTTTTGACTTTTGGATTTACAGAAGAACTGAGAACGTGTTCGGTTGTTTTCAGATTTGATCTTCAATTATTGTATCAGAATGGAACGTGGAACAGATAACCCAAGATACTCTGGAGAGTTATTGAAGTACATGTCCCTTCTACTTCTGGTGCTTTTCATAATGTGATTTAGCTGCTGCTTCTTTTTCCTTTGAAATTTTTTTGAATTGATTCTATTTCTATGATTCTGGTGAACAGGCATATGGACAAGCAGAATGAGGTCCTTGTGGAAGCACGTAAATCAATGTTGCATGAATTGGAAAAACTTCAGGTTGTTATATTTTGCCCTAGCTACATAATCCTTTACTTGACTTTTTGGGTTTGTAGTCTTACACCACTCGCTGTGTATATTAGCCTTATACTTGCTTTATTGTCCTACCAATATAGGAAAAATCAATTCTTTGGTTTTGCTAAATATGACAATATGAAATGTGACTGATGCTTTTAAGAGAGAAAACTAAGTTGTCCCATACTTGTGAATAGCGCTGCTTTAGCGCGCTATAGCGGGGTTGCGACGCGGTGCGGTGGCCGGCCGCCACAGACCGCGGTGCGACAGTCAGATGAGGGTAGTGACTATTGCGGCTGAATAGTGGTTGAATTGCGGCGCTATAGTAGTTTCTGCAAAAAGATGGATTGTTGGGCTTTTTGGGGAAGAAGAAAGGATTTACCCTATAGATGGATTTTTTAGAGACGCTAACTGCAACTGCTACTCTTGGTTTTCAGATAACACACGGAGAAAGGAGAAGGTCGCTGTTGTTTTTTTTTAATCTAAATAGAAAAAGAAATATTAAGTATTTAAAAAAAAATAAAAACAAATCTTGGGCTTCTGAAGATGTGGCCCATGTAGCTTTGTGTTACTTTTGTATTGAAGCTAACCTAATCAAGGAACAAATAAAATATGTTATCCTCAATTTCTCTTATTTTAAATTTTAATTTAAATATTTTGAAATTAATTATGTATGTTTTATAATTCAAATTTTTTTATTTTAAAATTAATTATCCATACTTTTTATATGTATTAAATAATAATATGCTTTGAAATCATTGCTCATTGAATTATAAACCCACCCCAAATCATGAGTTTACTATAGTTTTGTAGTGGGTATATCAAATTATGTTGCACATAGCGTTGTAGCGCTACCCTCTATAGCACTATAGCAGTTTGGAGGGTCAGCCCTACGCGCCGGTATCCGATATTAATAAGTATAATTTGTCCTTGCAATGTGATCATTGCCTCATACCTACTGATTTATAATCTCCTTGTCTGATTTATCTTCTACATGAGATACTTATATCACAATGCAGATGTCTCCTTTGTCTTTGCAATGTGATGTTAATCTCTGATGCTAAAATCATTATTCCATGAATCTTGACCATTTGATTTCAATATCTTGCAGCAAAATATTCTTGCCTATCGATTTATCAACCAATTGTCTGATTTATCTTCTGCTTGATATATTTATGACACATTTTAGGCAGTTTTCTGGGAAGCCACATATGATTATGATTTCATTTGCGATCTTTCAGTTGCCTTAATTACTAACATGTTCATTCAATGGAGGCAGAGTGGAAAACCTTAAAAAATTGGGTGTTTTGTAGCTGTAATTTTAGGCTGGCTCATACTCTTGAATATTGTGATTTGGCACCCTGTCTATGTCACAGTATAATTTGTTCCTCCTTTTTATGTTGTTGACTGTCATGTGTACAGGATAGTTTTGGTTTATTTGTGTGTTAATATTCAAGAAATACTTAACTAAAGTCAAATTTTTCTTTGATGAGCTTTATGCTGAACACGTAAATTTATGTGATACCTACAAAATCTTGAATCCCCTAAATTTTGGAGTTCTGGTTGCCAGGTAGAAGAAGAAATGCTTATGCGCAAGCTTTATGAAGTTATGTCAGCTCATGGTCTCACTAAACAGGTACGATGATTTGCTTTATCTAATTTTCCAGCCTCTTAAAATAGCATTCCCGTAATTTGTGCTAAAGATTGAACTATAATTTGAGTTCACCTTTTTGGTATCTGGTTAATGATGTTGATGATGTTTGGTATTTGTTTGTCTTAAAATGTAGTAATTCTCACTAAAAAGATGCTTTATATATTTTATTCAAAACCTTTAAAAGAAATGACAGGGATCATTATATAGTAATAGTCGCCAATATATCTGACTATAGTTCATTACTTCGTTTGTGAGGATGGTTCTCTCTCTAAATTTTAGATCTGTCACCTATATGTAAAGTTTAAAGAATCGTATGAGGCAGGAGATTGAAATAAATCAATTCAAATGGAAGAATTGATTAGATGCTCTGTTTGAATGCATTATCAATTACTAGAGTTTTGATTCTTTTGAATATGGTTGGACAATAAATGAGTTTGTCCCCAAGTGATAGTTTTCACTAGGCAGTATACCCGCTTTCTTACTGCTTTGTTTTTTGGTTAATTCTATGGAGAGGTGGGAATAGGTCAAGTTGATCTCTTACAATATAGAATTATTGTTAATTTATTTATTTGCTAGCACAAATTTTAAAGTATAGTCTCTTCCCAAAGACTTATTCACTAGCATTTATTTACAACACCTCTCCCATAGGGGGGGAAAAACCCTCCCTGACCTCTTACAAATAAAAACAGAAAGGAGCAGGGAAGCATTGGAGGTGTGCTCAAGTTTTGGGATATATTTATTTAGCTTCAAGTGAGCTATATACATTGCTTTGACAACTCCACTTTTGTTTAACTTCTGTGCAGAATGATGGCAATTCCAACACTTCCTATAATACTGCAGGAACTGAACACTCCAATGAGGTAGTCAATGCAGCGCATAAGGGACAGTAACGACATAATTTTGCTTGATTCACTCAGAGATTCGGGCTAAAGACCAAACTGTCTTAGGGGGATGAAATAAAGCCTTTTTCTGTTTTTCTTTGTGCAACATTTGATGAAACTAAAACCATTCGGAACGCAAGAATTATAAAATTTTCAACTTCATTATATCTAATGTACAAAAGATTTGCGCCTTTTGTTTGGGTAAGGAGGGCATTGGTCTTCTATGTGTTGATACCTGTTGACAATGTCTCTGTTTAAGTAATAAATGTGTAGTTCGCCCTGTTATACATACTATATGTTCGATCTCAACAAAATATACAGAATGAGATGGATTACTTGTGGAGATGCTAGCCTTGTAGACCAACCTAAGTACACAGTTCAGAAAGTAAGCTCCATCATTTATGGAAGCATTGATCGTGCAATGCAAACAAAATGGAAATGTTTCTTGCTTAAGAGGCCACCAAAATTCCTTCTACACCATTTAGTCGTACATATTAACTTGGCCTCATACTATTAAACGAGTTTAGCTTATATGTGACTGTTTTTGTTTGGTGGTCATTCCTCACACGGGTATTTCCTATCATCTAGAGCTTATTTATGTCAGTGTCTTCTTGTAAGTGATTTTTTGTGTGGATCTTTATCTATCTTTTGAAATCATAGGCATGTTACTGGTGTCATGATCGTTAGTATTGGGAGTAACTTATCGTTATTACTATCTACTATTAAAAAAATATAACAATTATAAAATTTAGAAAACTGTTTCTTGATTGGGCTCTTTGACACTCAAGTTTCTTAGTGTTCAGCTCGGCTCAATTATGCATTTCCTCGAAAACCTAGGAATTATGAACTAAATGCGATATGAAGCTTTAAACGAAGATGGAAAAAACAAATCACGATGATACAGATTGTAGTTTAAACGCATCGAGGAAAGCTAATAAGGTGTTGGTAGAAAAAATTTTGCTAAGTCAATAGTCATTGCGGATGCATTACCTTTGGGCTTTGACATAAGCCCTTTTACTTTATCATTACAACTAAAGACGTAAGAGGTCGTTTGTTTCGCTTCTTAAAAAAAAGTAACTTTTATTATTTCCTTGTTTTAAAAGTATTTTTTACAAAAGTTAAAACTATTTATATTTTTATAAAAATATTTAGTTTTTGAAAAAAATATTTAACTTTTGACTTCTGTTTTTCTTAGAAGTTAAAATTTTTAGCTTCTGAAAAAAGTAAGTTTTTAGTTTTTTTTGTGACTTCTCTTTTTTTTAAAAGCAGATATTCAAACGAACTAAAAACGAAAAGTATTTTTTTTCTTAAAAAAAAGCAGCTTTTGAAGAAAAAAAAGTTCATCCAAACGGACCCTAACTCGGGATAGAACCAAAAAATTTGGATGGCAAAACCCAATTATCGAAAATTGATGTCTTTAGTCAAATGTATGAGCTTTGTATCTTCACCGTTTCCAAGATATTACTTCTCTTGGGCTCGAAGACTGTGTAACCAATTTAGGGAATTTTCGTATGGATTAATCATGCTTAATTAAGGGCTTAGGGAAGCCCTTTACAAATAAATATTTAAAAATAAAAAAGATTTCGCATGTGTATTAATCATGCAGGTGAAACTATGACGATTGGCAATTGACCGATTTTAATTTAATTAGCAGACAGATGGTGCATTTGCAAGTTATAAAAAATTATTAAAAAATTCTCGCTTGAATTTGAAAGTTTTGATTAATTTTTCAAGAGTTTTATTAATCTCATATTAAAGGAAATAAGTTATTTCATGTCATAGAGATAAACTTGTGGGCTCCACCACCTAAAAAATAAAAAGAAAAAGGTGGCACAGTTACCAAATGGTGTATAGGAAAGAAATTTATCACATGTAGCATAAGACTAGTTTTTCCCATTTTTCAAAATGAGATAAAGTTTAAGGTGTATTCAATTTTCCTAAATTTTTATATCTACCTTTCTACCCTAAATTTCATAGGATTGGTTTTTCTCACCAGAACTATATTTATCTTGTAGCCAAAATTGGGCATGCTAGTATCTTCTTACAGAAAACAGAGGTGCCATTTCCAAACATCTTCTTCATGGTTGAAATATTCAAAACGTTTCTAATTTAATTTTTTTTCTGCCGTATCGTATTGTCATAAATAATTTAAACTTAATATAATCAAGTTCCCTCTATATGTTTTTCTTTTCTTTTTTCGGTAAACTCCTCTATATGTTTTTCTATTAGGCTATTAGCCTGTTAAAAACTCATTTTTTGGGTTGAAGTTGAATACTAATATTTCCTGGAATGATTGAATACTAATTCAAGTTGCATAATATTCAATATTTTGACTTTTATATAATATTCTTTCATTAATAGTAATTGTTGACAAAAAAAAATGCGAATGACCTTCGTATCCAACAACTTTTTTTAATTTGTCCACTAACATGGTTTTTATTGCTTAGTCCTCAACTTAATTTTTTTTTTTTTTAAGACGGACCTCAATTATCTCTTTGAGTCAAATTGACCTCCTGTTACCCCTACAAGCTTCAATTTTTGAACTGATTATGAGAATAAGGCTTAGTCATAGTTAAAGCTCTTCATCCATCTCTAAGAAATCGAAATTAAATTCTCTCCCCACCTACTCAGTTATATATATATATATATATATATATATATATATATATATATAAAAGTGTGTGGGACCAAAATGAGGTATGTGAAGAAAAAAGAGAAAAAGAAAAAATAAGGATCCCACATAATTTATGTGTGTGTAAGAGATAATTTTATCTCCTACAACATGAGACACATTAAAATCCAGATATATATATATATATATATATATATATATAGGAAAAAATATTTATGAAGCCACTTTAGATAAGCTTATCTACAACTACCCATTTATAACTATGTTCTCCCGGGAGAACATAGTTATAACATTAAAGTTGCTTTTTTTCTCTCTCCACATCAGCAGACAGGTTCTGAAAAGTAAATTAGGAGAGAAAAAAAAGTAATTTTTAATGTTATAACTATGTTCTCCCGGGAGAACATAGTTATAAAGGGTAGCTGTAGATAAACTTCTTTAAAGTGGCTGCAGAAATGTTTAACCCATATATATATATAGGGTCAGGATCATTTTACACCAGTGTAAGTTACACTCTCAATCTTGACTATTAATTTCACTTATACCGGTGTAAAAATATCATGTCATATATATATATATATATATATACAATGACCATGTGCAACAATAAAGAATTTTTTAATGTTTTCATACTGCGTGCGGGCTTGTCAATTCAATGAAATCAAGATTGTGGTAAAACGTGTTTTGTGGCTACATCTAGCACTATCCAAATATAAATGGAGTCTTTTTCTATGATTAGAACACCTCGATATTGTGCTAGGTGTTGCACTTAGATGGTGGTCCCTTCCTTTCTCTCCCACCATTTTACAGCATTTGTAGTCTTTTAGCTTTTAGTTTCTTAAATTGGGGAATTGGATTCACCACTCGCTCTTTTTTTTTTTTTTGTAGCTTATGATTCTGGAATTGGGAATTAAGTATCAACATCAATGTGGGCATCAATAACTCTGACTTGTGGAAAAGCAAAGGTATTTGAAAAGAATGTCCTTTAACTCTCAACCCCCCACTCTCAAAGCCATTAATGATCTAATTGAACTTGGAATTTGAACTTGAGAAATAGTTTGTCTTTCCAACAGTCAATATTTTTTTTTTCTTTCAGAGTGTTATTGGTTACATAATAATAAAATAATAGAAAGTCCTTTCTACTCTAAACTCAAAAAACAGGATTGGAATTTTATTTTATTTTTTTGTTGGACAACTAAAACCGAAGACCAAAAATAGAAAGAAATCATTTTATACATCGACACCCCAACTAAATTTTTGAAGAGATATTACTATTAGAGTTTGACCCTTCATATGGTTATTAATTTACTAATGGTTAGCTTTTCAAAAAAAAATTTACTAATGGTTATTAATTTAGAAGGAAAGTATTTCTAATACTGTTGTAATACTATGAAAGTGACTGCTACTAGCGTTAACATTTTGACATATAAAAACAAATTCGGACCTCCTCCTCTGCAAGACCTTAACATGGAAGTATCAACCAATACATTTGTCTATTCTAATCTTTATGAATCTTAATTTGGAAAAGTTTTAAATTTATATCCCAATTCACAACTTTTTTCATCTTCACCAAACAAAACCAGATATAGCTTCGTTTACAAACTTTAGTAATTAAATTATCATCTAGATATCATAGAGGAGGGTGGGGACATTAAATTCTAAGAATCTTTAACTGACATGTACTAAATAAATTTATACTAGACTGAACACCGTAATCTGTATATATATACACATGTTTGCAGTGAACAAGTGGGACATGTACCAGTACTAGTTGTCAGGGGTAAATGTGGAAATTCAATGCTTAATTAAAGGGATAATCTGATTATTATAATAAAGAGTGGATTTTTGACATTGGACATGGGAATGAATAGGATGCATCAAATCAAAATATAATTATGGTTAGACAGTTTCCTGAATTGTATAATTAGACTTGTTACCATTAATGCAAAAGTGAATGATAATATGAGTCGTCTCAAACAAGGCACAAGGATGTATTGCCTTTGCTTTGCCGTAGTCAGAGTCATCATGTCATGGGCTCAGCCTGAGAGTCAATGCCAAATATTAAACTCTTTTTGACGCTTTCTGTCTTCTCTGTCATAACAACAGCCCCACTCATGTTTGTCTAAAATTCTTAATATCACCAATGCAACATTACCATTTGGTACCTTTTAAATCCAAACCCACTTTCTCTATAGGCGCGTTTCAGTTCCTCCAGTTTTTTTTGTTTTTATCTTTTTACTTTTTATATCATTAAGTTCTTATTTGACTCCATATTTTACTTGGTTAAATGATTTTTTTTGCGAATGAGACCTGTCACAGTTTGACTTGATATCTTAACAGAATTTTTATCCATCTTAATTATTATAATCATGTGATATTTAAAAAATAATAAGAATGTAGAATTTGACACACACATATATATATATATATATGTAATTGCCATCAATAAAATACACTGTAACATTATACTTTCATAAGGAATAAGTTATAACAAAATATCATTAAGAAAAATAGCATAAGAAATATATTACAACTTACCCTAAATTTATCATTTTGTGCTAGAGGTCAAAAATAAAAAATTGTGACTTCATGTTACGTGGTACAAGTAGCCTAAAATTCTTGCAAGGAATTCTTCAATTATACAA